AACAACTTTCTGGATTCCAATAACCCCTCCCCTACCTTCTTCCCCCCTTCAGACATGGTGGGTGATTGTTCCCCATGAGAGCCAGCCTTGTTGGTTTCCATGAAGCACCTTCCTTTGTGAATAGCCTGCGTGCTAACTTATCTTCAGTGACCTCCTTGAATGAGCCATCTCTTTCCTAGGGGACCCGGGGCAGAAACATATTCCATGTTAAAGGTAGTATTGTGTAAGAGTGGGGTCAGCAAACTGACCTGGACCTGGTAGTCAAGTTTTACTGGAACACAGCCGTGCCCATTCACTTACCCGTTGTTCCTGGCTGCTTTTGTGCAGAATAATCATAGCAGAGACCAAATCGCCTGGGAAGCCTGAAATATTTACCATCTGGCCCTTTACAGAAAAAGTTTGTCTACTCTGTAGTAGAGAAGAAAGAATGAACTTGGCCGAGTCACTTGACCACCTCAAACCTCACCTGTAGAATAATAGTGATAGCTCACAAAGTTATTGTAAGAACTGAGCCTATAATCAGTCTCTGTTTTCAGGAGTTGCTGTCCTTTGAGGATGTGGCTATGTACTTCACCAGAGAAGAGTGGAACAAACTTGAGCGGGCTCAGAAGGACCTCTACAGAGATGTGATGCTGGAGAATTACAGAAACATGATCTTGTTGGGTAATGACGTGGCTTGAAGATTTGGCTCTGAGTGTCTACACAAGTCCTCAGTCCCTTACGTGCAATTCCAAAATCAGAGAAACTCCGAAAACTAGTTTTTTTCCCATAATTCATTTAGCGGCAAGACCCAACTTGTGAAGTCCTCAGGTGGTAAAACCTGATCTCTTCCTACAAGAAGCTATGTCTCATCCTTATTTTTCCCAGTTGGTCTTTGTTTTTGTTTTTCCCACTTGGTCTTTGTATCTATCTATTTAGCATCAGAAATATCAGTGTGTTTGAATAAGGGTACATCTCCAACCCCTGTTGGGGGCGGGACATAATAGAAAATATACACACCAAGTTGCCTTTCTAAAATCTGGAAAAAATTCTGAATCCTGAAACACGTCTGGCCTCAAGGTTTTCAAATAAGGGATTGTGCACAAAGAATAGTTTCCTTTTGTTTTAGAGGTCAGAGATGCTTAATCTACTCCCCACCCCAATCCACATCCTCCACATCTGTAAGACCTGTATGAGCTGAAAAGATTATGGCTGATTTGGATTCCAAAGGTTAGCTTCTTTTTCTCTGTCTTCTCTCTGGAAATGGGTTCCTTCCTTGTTGGCAGCATCACCAGGTATCCAGGAAACGACTCTTAACTGACTTCATTTCTGAACCTTCACTGCTTCTCTCCTCGGGGAGCCTGCCTTTGTCTTATTCCAGTGCAGAGTCTTCTGTGGGTGTTTCTTCCACAGATAGCTTGCTTTCTGGGGCCACAGCTTTGACCCCCACATTGACACTCTTGCCACAGCCTTGACCACCTCTTTTGGGATTGTCCGCCCACCTCTGGAGTTTCTGATGTCTGTTTTCCTTATGAAAGCATTACAAGAGCAGCCTTGAATACATAGAAGGTACAGGAAATTATGACGGGGAGGGGAGAACATTCAGGGATAACACTGTTCATATTTTGGAATAGTTCCTTCTAGTTTTTCTCCCCCTTAAAAAATGTGGCTGAACATATTCTTCATATAATTCTGTAATTCCTTTAAATCTTAACATTACAATATCAGCATTTTCCCTATGCTATTAAAAGCCCCCATAAATATAGTAAATGACCATAATGTAATTCTATTGTATGATCTATAATATTTAATCATTTTCCCATTTGGGGATATTTAGTTTGGCTTTTGTTGTTGTTGTTGGCTTGCTTATGAATTTATCATTTTGTATATTCTAATGTTCTAATGGATGTTTCTGACCATAAATCCTTATATAAATTTCTGACTATTCCCCAAGATACAGAATTTTGGTGTTAAAGGGTATGGGTACTTTCAAGTCTCTTTGTATTACCCAATGACTTTTCAATAACAGAGTAGGAAATAAAAATCCTCTGCAGGCCCACTGCCCAGAAATGATCCCCGTTAACATTTTCTTGGACTTTTTCTTCATCTTTTCATATATATGTATACTTCTGTACATTTACACACACATGCATAGTTTTTAAGAACAAAATTTGGATCGTACTTCACATGAGTTTTGCATTCGGCTTTATAATACATAGGGAACATTTTCCCATTTTAATATTCTTGAACACATGGATTTTTAGTATCTGCCGAATACTTTTGCCTTCACTGCATTCAGATGCTATGCTGTAGACATTGCCCTGTTGATGTTTACTTTATTTCCAGCTGTGCACTGGTACAACTCTGCTGAACGGCTCTGGTCCATTCATCTTGGTCCTAATTGTTCCATAGACTCTAAGAGTGAAATTACCACATCTAAGGCTGTGATGATTGTTGAGGCTTTCCATAAAGATTGTCAGATTGTGCCAAATTCTATTCCCACCAGCCCTTTTGATTATTGTCCTTATCTGTTTGCCACTGTAGACCCAAGGGGGTTAAGCTGAGGTCTAGGACATCTCTCCATAACTCACTAACCATATCCCATTTACTTCTCCATGAGTAGGATTTCAGTTTCCCAAACCTGAGGTGATCTGCCTGCTGGAGCAGTGGGAAGAACCATGGATCCTGGATCTACCAAGAGCCGGGACTAGGAAGGCTTCCAGTAGTGCTTGCCCAGGTGGGTGAGGAGAAGGCCCAGTCGAGTGGAAATCCTGAGGAGGCAGGAAAGCCACATTAATGAAGCCCCTTGTGTTGCCCCAGAGACTGAGCCAGGGGTTTGGTGTATCTCCTCCCACTTTTTCATCCCTGCTGCCCTCTGAAGGTAGTATGTGTGACCATTAGCCCCATTTTCCAGGTGAAGAAACTAAAAGATTCAGGGGCCCCTGCCTGGCTCAGTCGGTGGAGCGTGCGAATCTTGATCTTGGGGTCATGAGTTTGAGCCCCACGTTGGGTGTAGATTACTTAAAAATGAATAAATAAACTTTGAAAAGATTCAGGTATCTGTCACACAGATTAATAGTTGGGATTCGATTTCAAGTCTGCAAAGCTCAGCCTCATTCCATTGCAGTAGAATGCTTCTCTGAAGCAGCCGGTCTAACAGTTATGTCAAACTAGATATTCCTTATTTTATCCTCGTTACTTATCCTTCCTATTTTCTCTTGTTCCTTTGCTTTCATTTTGTTTTTCATAGTCCCACAGTGTTTCTTGATGTACCTGCTTTTTCCTGCTATGTCCTGATTGCTGCTTCTACCTTCTTCCATATCCTCTGCTCCAGAGTTTATCAACCTCTGCTCTATTGACATTCTGGGCTGGATAATTCTTCGCTGTGGGGAGCTGTCCTGTGTATTGTAGGATGTTTAGCTCTACCCACTAAATTTGAGTAGCACCACCCCAGTTGTGACCACCAAAGATGTCTCCAGACATTGCCAACTGTCCCCCAGGAGGCAGAATCACCCCTGGTTGAGAACCACTGCTGTATTCCCTTGGCTTTTGTACCTACTTCTATCTGGTTCCTTTCCTATTCTATCTTACACTCCCCATTTTAAGGAGTTGTTTCTCCCAGAACTATTGAAAACCTGCTTATCGACAAAGTATAAGATGTTCCCTCTCCTACATTATGTCACACTACTGAGTACCCAGAGTAAGTTATTTTTCCAGTAGTCGTGATGGGTTTGTTCGATTCTCACTTCTCTGGCACACACTTGTGCATTTTTCTGTCAGCTAGTTGATGTCCAGAACTTTTTCTGCTATTGAAGCTGGGAGCCCTGTGAAAATCAGAGTTTTGGCCTCTTTAGCCTGATGATGTAACTAAGCGGGCACTTCTTAGCTTCATTTGAGTGTCTGATAGCACACACAGTTGGCTTCTTCTTTTTTTTTTTCCTTCTGCAGTGCACAGGTCATTTCTGTGTTTTCTTTTTATTTGGTTAGGTTCTGAAGCCAGATGCAAGACGAAAAAGCCAACTCCAAAGCAGAAAATTTCTGAAGATTTAGAGTTGTCAGTGGTAAAGCAGACAACGGCCAAGAGATCTGCAGAAAGGTTACATAAATGTAATGAATTGGTGGACATTTACAGACTTGCATTCCCCACTCTTGGTGATGAATGCCACAAGGACTTCCTTCAAAACCTCCACCTTACTCAAGATCAGAGTGCTCAAATAAGGAAGAAGCAGGGCAAATGTGAGGAGTATGGAAAACCTTTCAATCAGAGATCGTTGCTTTTGCGGCATAAGCAAATTCTTACAAACGCAAAATCTTATGAATGCAGTGAATGTGGAAGAGTCTTCAGGCGTCAGGCAAATTTCATTCGACATCAAAGAATTCACACATCAGAGGATCCCTTTGAATGCGACATATGTGGGCAAGCCTTCAAACATAAGTCTACTCTTCTTGTCCATAAACAGTGTCACCCTCAAAAAAAGCCATATAAGTGTCATGACTGTGGAAAATTTTTCTGTCAGATGGCATATCTTATTGAACATAAAAGGATCCATACCAAAGAAAAGCCCTATAAATGTAGTGAGTGCGAAAGAACGTTTAGTCAGAATTCAACCCTTATTCGACATCAGTTAACCCACAGTGGAGAAAAACCCCATAAATGTCACGAATGTGGAAAGGCCTTTGGTCGGCATTCGACCCTTCTGAGCCATCAACAGATTCATACTAAACAAAACACTCACAAATGCAGCGAATGTGGAGAGTCCTTTAGCCGGAATGTGGATCTCATTCAGCATCAAAGAACGCATACCAAGGAGGAATTCTTTGAATGTAGAGAATGTGGAAAAACTTTTAGTTTTAAGGCAAATCTTCATCGCCATGAGGTCATTCATACTGGAGAGAGACCCTACAGATGTGACAAATGTGGAAAATCTTTCATCTGGCGCACAAGCTTTATTAAGCATCAGGGTACTCACAGAGAACGGATATCAATGTGATACTAACTGGAAAAAGACCATTTAAAGACCAGAACTTACCACTCTTGTAATTATGTGTAACTTCATTGTTTTATAAAAATTAATAAACAGGAATTGAAATGGTTTTGCTGTGGGGACCCTCTTTTTGTAGCTAACCTTCTTGCTGGAGTCAAGAATTAATAGAACATGTAATAGTCTATCATGTTCAGTCTCCGTTGAGCTCCTCATACCTTCATTGTCCCAAGTCCAGGCGGAAGGGAGGCATAAAAACTTTGTGGTTCCCTAGGCTGGAGACCATTTGATGATTATGAACGATGTAGGAATACTTTTCTTATTTCCTGTATAACTGGGGGGAAAACGTTTTTAAGTCAAAGAAAGGTGTAAAAAGATACTTTTCTTGGTTTTATGTAGAAAAATTACCTGATACTACATTACTTTTTAAAAGTAAAATAAGGGCTACTCACAAGTAACTCGTGAGATATTAAGAATCACTAAAATTTGGGCACCTGGCTGAGGCGTCGTGAGTTCAAGCCCCACTTTGGGTGTGGAGCCTGCTTTAAAAAAATTACTAAAATGTACCCAGAAACTAAAATTAGCGTGCTACTAGATTTCTATTCAGAGTTCTAAGTCAACTGTTAATAGTTGGCCTGCCTGCCCTCTGCTTACTCCCTCTTTTGGGCTTCATCTGAGTTGCACCGTGTGTCTCTTGGCCTGCAGGCTTTTTCTAAAACCACAAAAGGCCACTGCTCTGTAGGGTAACTACATCGTGTGAGCAGACTTCAGCTAATGCTTGATGGGAATTTCACAAATAGGATCCTCTCCTCTTGGGTGGAATATCTCTGAAGCATGTATTTTACACTTGTTTTCGGTTTTGCCATGGGATTATGCATTCACTCACCTTGGCAGCTGCTTTATTAGCGGTCTTCCCTGCTCTGTCTCTTCTATACTCCCCTCCCAGTGTTTCAACACTTCTCCCCACAAGTGAGTTGCTTGTGTTCAGAAAGTGTCGACTGTAGTCCTCGAGGAGCCCTAGGTTACATAGGTTGAGCTGACCATATGACTCTTCCCTACAGCTCACCAATACAAGAAACCCATTTGAAATTCTAATATCCTAAGCATCATCCTAGGTCTGCAATATAAACTGCTATTTGGACGCTCTCCTATAAATCCCCTCTAGTTTCTTCTTGGTTTTATTTTCTTGCTCCTACCAATTCCATGACTTCTCACCCAACATATAAGAACAAAGATCTATTGAGAAAAAGGAAGTGGCACCTCAGAAAATTAAGGAATCTTGAGCCTTGCAGGAGGAAAATAGTAATAGACTGTATATTGGGTTCAAAAAGCAGTAATTTTGTACTGGTCGGCATGAATTGGCTAGAAGAACCTAAACAAAGTTGACTTCTGACTGAGGGGGAAATAAGCCAGTGAGAGGTAAGTCCCACTTAAAACAACCTAGGGAGATGGGGACCTATGAAAAGTGCTTCCCTCCACTGCTAAGTGGAAGCCATAAAGCTCCCTAATAAAGCAATCAATCAATCAATCAATAAAGTGCCTGGCAGGCTCAATTGGTGGAGCATCTGACTCTTGATCTTAGGGTTGCAAGTCCGAGGCCCATGTTGGGTATAGAGATTACTTAAAATCTTTAAAAAGAAATACATACATACATTTTAAAAATGGCACTTTGGTTTCCTGATGGCAGTTCTCCATTGCATGGATGAGAACTGATTTGGAAATCTGCAATCTGGTCTGGGGAGTCTGTTACAGGCATACACTCAGCTATGGGAGAACTAGAGGCATGCCCTAAAGGCTATTCTTGGGCTGTGGCCAATAGCTAAACTAAGCCATACAGTCTGGCAAGTGGGCCTTGGACAATTAAAAATAATCATCAAAGTGGGGAGCCCAATTATGATAAGCCCTTTGCCCACCAGAATAATCAGGGTGGATTCTGAAGATAACAGACGTTCTAGGCGAACCACTTGAAGTGGCAATGTGGATATGTGGGCATCCACGATGAGTGGCCACGGAGGCTCCCAAGCCATGTTGTGTCATAAGACCCCACAGTCCATTGTGACACTTGCTGGGGCACCACTGGTTGCCAAAGACTGTTCAGAATCCTGCCAGGTTAGCACAATGGGAAGTGGGCTCACCTGCTCAGCCCCACCCCACTGTGTGTGCCTAGAAGATGGCCCTGCCCCACGTCCCTTAAAGGAACCTCAGATGCCTCACGACCCTCTGGTCCCTCACTCTCTGGTGGGGTTAGTGAGAGGGCCGTCTACACCCCAAAGCCTAAGGGCACCCAGCCCAGCCCTCTCACCGTCCCTCCTGCTGGTTTCAAGGAAGGTCCAAGGAGAAGACGTGCACTACTCTTCCATCACATCCAGGATCAAGGAAGTGAGCTCTGGAAGGCAAATAATTTAGTTTTGGTTTTTGAACATTTAGGGAATGAAAATTAAGATGAGGTAAGGTGACAAGGCTAGAGTAGGACACTCAGAATAGAATATAATTTGGTACTCGCTTTGGGGGAAAGAAACTAGGAAAGTGTATTAGCTCACATACTGACCAAGGAATTCTACTTCTGGGAATCTAGCCTTAGATTCTAAAGAACAATCCAAATTATACTGACATTCACTATAGCACTGCTTGCAACAATGAGGAGAAATGCCTGAACTATCCAATAAAAGGAAAATGGCTCCATCATTATGTCCACTTGATGGAAAATGATGCAGCCATTAAGCGTAAAGGTTATGAAAACCATGTAAAATCCTTAAGACATAATATTAAAAAGATGTAAAATATAAACACTATGATTCTCATTATATGAGAAGTATGCAGAGAAAAAATTCAGAAGGAAATATGACAAAATGCCAGTAACGGGTGATCAGGGTGGTAGGATTATGGGTAATTTCCTGTTATTTTCCCAAATATCCAATAATGTCCTTATATTCCCTTGATCAAAAACAAAGGGCGCCTGGGTGGCTCAGTTAAGTGACTGCCTTCGGCTCGGGGCATGATCCCAGGGTCCTGGGATCAAGCCCCACATCAGGCTCCCTATTCAGCGAGGAGCCTGCTTCTCCCTCTCCCTCTGCCGCTCCCCCTCCCTGTGTGCTCTGTCAAATAAATAAAATCTTAAAAAAAAAACCAATAAAAAACACAAAAACAAAAACCCCAAAACAGGTTCAAAAAGAACTTAGATACAATACAGGCTCGTGTGTAGAAGTGGAAAGGTAAGGGACGCCTGGGTGGCTCAGTCGGTTAACTGTCTGCCTTCGGCTCAGGTCATGATCTCAGGGTCCTGGAATTGAGTCCCGAGTCGGGATCCCTGCTGAGCAGGGAATCTGCTTCTCCCTCTCCCTCTTCCCTCTGCTTGTGCTCTCTCTCGCAAATAAATAAATCTTGAAAAAAAGGGAGGGGGCAGCCTGGGTGGTTCACTCGGTTAAGCATCTGCCTTTGACTCAGGTCATGACCCCAGGGTGCTGGGATCGAGTTCCACATTGGGCGGGGAGCCTGCTTCTTCCTCTCCCTCTGCCTGCTGCTCCCCCTGCTTGTGCTCTCTCAAGTAAATCAATAAAATCTTAAAAAAAAAAAAAGTGGAAAGGTAAGATCGGCTTAGGCTTCGTGGCATGCCTCGTTTAATCCACCAGGGACAATAAAGCCAACCCCATATCCTTCCCTCACCAGTCACATGGGTGAAAAGATGGCTCTGGGGAAGTTAAAGAATGATCAAATTTGAAACCCTTTTAGAGCTGGTGTTTCTCGTCATGATGCATGTGCACAAGCCAATGGCCCTTCACCATTACTACCACGGAGGTGCTCCAGCTGGGCAGAGGGGAGGCAGGACGGGACGGGGAGAAGAGGCAAGCCATGGTGGGGTGGGAGCCCAGTGCTAACTGCAAGGAAGAAACTCACGTTACTGGACAAGCAGTCAGATCACCTGAGTTTTTTTTTTTTTTTTTTCCTTTTTTAAGTAGGCTCCACACCCAGCATGGAGCACTGGGCTTCAACTCACAACCCCGAGATCAAAACCTGGGCTGAGATCAAGAGTCGGGTGCTTAACTGACTGAGCCACCCAGGTGCCCCTGCTCACCTAAATTCTGAAGCATCAACTGTGTGCCTTCATTTCTTCCTCTCTACCTGGGAATGACATAAGTCCCTACTTACCTCATAGGGTTGCTAGAAGTCAAATGGAAAAATGTCTATGGGTGCATTATATGAACAGAGTATTATGTCAGTGAATACTGGTCGCAAAACAAGCAAGAGCTGAAGGAGCTTCTGCCTTTGGTGACCTTTTGCGGAACACGCTCCAGAGCACTTCCTTATGTCCCATACATTAAGAAACCTTGACAGAAAAAAACGTGTTTTAGGCTATTTGATATCACAAGAGCCTCCCTCTCTCCCCGCCAACACCCAAAGCTTACTGAAAGGTTTAGGGAGGACTTTCATCAAAAACCAAAAGTTTTCAAATAGAGGCCCTTAATTTAACTAGCTTCGAAAACGATACAGTGACAGGAATTAGTGGGTGTGTTTGGGTGGGGCCTTCCTTTGCTTCTCATTTAAAAGGAAATCAACAGGAGTTATAAAACTGAACTCCTAGAATGGGGAAGAGAAACTCTGCAAAATTAATGTTTAAAAAAGTAAAAAATATAGAATGCCTCTTGCATGCACCAAACTTTACACGGTGTTTTGGATTATCGTGTATTTGAAATCCTGTCCACCATCGAGGTAGAAAGATAATTTAAAAAAAAAAAAAGGAAAGGAAAGACAACTCTAAGTGACTAAAATATTTCTCAGGGAAGTAAGTGGAGTGGGCAAGGCTTGGGTCTGAAAGTGGAGGTAAGAAGAGGAAAGAGACAAGGACAGAACTGTCACATGTTGGAAGGCCCTTCCATGCAACCATCCTTTGGAAGGGCTCCCCATTTACACATTCCTACTTCACTTCGATGCTCTATCTGAGTAGGTACTGAGACTCAAGTCAGACTGACTGATCTGTCTTGGGTGGGATGCCCATGGAAATACAATCCACAATTGACTGAAATACTCCAAATGCCAAAGAATGTAGTTTCTGGACAATGGAAAAAACTAACCAACCAACCAAAACAGCCAGACAGCAGCCACGTCAGAACAGTGGGACTTTATTTCTGTGGATCCTTTGGTGTCGGATAAGGTGTGGACTCTGTCTAAAGCTTTCCCCACATTCAAGACATTTATAAGGCTTTTCCCCAGTGTGGGTCCTCTGGTGTGTAATGAGGGTTGCGCTCTGACTGAAGCGTTTTCCACACACAGAACACCCATATGGCTTCTCACCGGTGTGGACTCTCTGATGTTTAGAGAGGTCTGAGCACCGTTTGAAGCTCTTCTCACATTCTTCACACGTATAGGGTCTCTCCCCTTTATGTATCCTCTGGTGTCTGAAGCGGTTGGAAGTGCGGCAGGTTTCCCCACATTCGTTACACTTGAAGTGTTTCTCTCCCACGTGGATTCTCTGGTGCCGGTTGAGGTGGGAGCTCTGTCTGAAGCTATCCCCACATTTGGGGCAGGTGTAGGGCTTCTCGCCCGTGTGTGTCCTCTGGTGTTTAATCAGGGCGGCACTCTGACTGAAGCTCTTCCCGCATTCTTGGCATTCATAGGGCTTCTCTCCCGTGTGGATTCGCTGGTGTTTAAAAAGGTCAGAACGCTGCTTGAAACTCTTCTCACAGTGGTCACATCTATAAGGCCTTTCTTCACGGAACTGCCGCTGGGTCTCAGAAAGACCTGCCCTGCGGGAATGTTCTTCACTGTCAACAGAGCTGTGAGGTTTCACCCTCTGACGTTTTACCGGGTCTCGACTCTGTTTACAACTGTCCCCCTGTTGGTTCCTGTTAACGGGCCTCTCCACTGTCTGGATGTGCTGATAAGGAACAAAGTTTGAACTCGGGGCACTGTTCCCAAATTCATTATTTTTGGAGTCTCCCTCTTCCGTGGGACCATTCTTGAGATCTGTGGTGCTGGAGAGTCCTTCCTCTTCAGGAGAATTTTCAAGTTTCAGCGGTGAGGGATTTTCTGACTGCTTTTCTACCCTGTTCTTGTGGGTATCATCACACCCAGAAAATGGGGGAACCTTCCTGTGGGACCCTTCTTGTAGCTGCCCCTGCGGGTCTACTTCTTCTAAAACCTCTTGCTTTGGAATAAATTCTTTGTTCTCGGTTCTGGTTTCCAAACCTGAAACATTAAAAAGAAAAATAAAATGGCTGACATTTCATCCCTTTGCAAGAGCGAAACAAGCAAGTGCCTGCAGTAAAATAACCCCCCAAAATATTCTCCATGAACCACTCCCCAAGTTAAATTATTTTAATCAACCTGCCAGATGTGCTCATATTTACCAGTATGAACCCCGTTTCTTTCCTTTTATGCTTGTGCCTACACACACAAACCCATCTCTTTTCCCCGTGCTCCACTCCACCGTTGTAGGAGGCACAATGTCATGACAGAGGCATATCTGGAAGGGGTGTCAAGAAGGGCAGGACAGGGGCGCCTGGGTGGCTCAGTCGTTAAGCGTCTGCCTTCGGCTCGGGTCGTGTTCCCAGGGTCCTGGGATCGAGTCGCGCTGGGCTCCCTGCTCATCGGGAGCCTGCTTTTCCCTCTGCCTCTCCCCCTGCTTGTGCTCTCTTTCTGTCAAATGAATAACTAAAATCTTAAAAAAAAAAAAAAAAAAAAAGAAGGGCAGGACAGCCTGTACCCCATGAATGAAGGACGGTGTTTAACAAGAGACATTCTAGTCACGTGATGAGTTATCGTAACAGATACACCACGTGCCCTCAATGTCTGGAGGCAGGGTCTGGGTGGGAGACAAATCTCAGACTGAGAGTCTACAGAGGAGCAGTCAAGCCACCAGATTCCACCCCAATCCAGAATTTTTGCAGCTTACCCTCCAGGGAGACTGAACCAGGTAAGTTCTGGGTTGGGGATGTCAGGCACAGCTGAGAACAGGGGACAGGGACCACTTTCCTCTCAGGACAATCAAGTGAAAATGGACACACAGCTGGGAGAAGCTCAGTGCACTGTTCCCTGCTCATGCCCCAAACTGAGCTCCGAAGCCGACATCCTCCAGGCAGAAAGGGAAGGGATTTTTATGGCAGGGATTTCATAGGTTTTATTCCCTATTATGTCCCCAACACCTAGAACAGCACCTGGCTTACCGCTGATGCTCAAAATATTTGTTGAATAAATCTCTCTGAGGTAAAACTTGCCAGCCCAGGCCTAACATATGGGAATTCCCAAATAAAACAACACCTGATAGCCAAAGCAGTGCTGAGAAAGAACGAAGCTGGAGGTATCACAACATCAGATTTCAAGATACACTACAAATCTGTAGCAATCAAAATAGTATGGTACTGGCACAAAAACAGACACATAGATCAATGGGACAGAATAGACAGCCCAGCAATGGACCCACACTTGTGTGGTTAGTTACTCAATGACAAACGAAGCATGAGTATACAATGGGGGAAAAGACAGTCTCTCTAATAAACCGTGCTGGGAAAACCGGACAGCTACATGTAAAAGAATGAAACTGGACCACTTTCTAACACCGTACACAAAAATAAACACAAAATGAATTAAAGACCTAAATGTGAGACCTGACACCATAAAAATCCTAGAAGAGAGCACAGGTAGTAATTTCTCTGAATTGGCTGTTTTCTACATATGTCTCCTGAGGCAAGGGAAACAAAAGCAAAAATAAGCAATTGGGATTATATCAAAATAAAAAAAAGCTTTTGCAGAGGGCACCTAGCTCGCTCATTTGGTGGAGCATGTGACTCTTGATCTCAGGGTTGTGGGTTCAAGCCCTAGGTTGGGTGTACAGATCACTTAAAAATAAAACCTTAAAAAAAAGAAATAAGAAGGGACAGGGAAGAAGCTGATGCAATCAGTCCACAAGTTCCAACATCCAAATAAAAGAAATCCCAGAAAGAAAACAGGAAAAAAATGACATAAAAATAAACAGGTGGGTAAGTATATAAAAAAAATACTATAAAGGGGCGCCTGGGTGGCTCAGTCGTTAAGCGTCTGCCTTCGGCTCAGGTCATGATCTCCAGGTCCTGGGATCGAGCCCCGCATCAGGCTCCCTGCTCAGTGGGGAGTCTGCTTCTCCCTCTCCTCTGCCTCTCCCCACTGCTCCTACTCTCTCTCTCTCTCTGTTTCAAATGAATAATAAAAAAAAAATACTATAAAAATCTTCTCGCAACTCAAAGACATGGGTGTCTATGTTACAAGGAAAATTAATGAAAAAAAAAAAACCCTTACACTAAGTCACTTCATTCTGAAACTTTATGCTAGCAGGAATAAAGAAGAGATTCTAAAGGCTTCTATGCAGAACAAACATCACACACCAAGGATAAAATATCACAATGGCATCCAGTTTCTTCTAGCAACATGGCAAGCTAGCCAGAATATTCAGTTTTCAAAATGTAAAATCATTCATTCATTCATTCATTCATTCATTTGAGAGAGGGTGAGGGGAGTGTGCACAGGGGTTGGGGCAGAGAGAGAATCCAAGCAGACTCCATGCTGAGCCCAGAGCCTGACGTGGGGCTCGATCTCATGACCACGAGATCATGATCTGAACCGAAGTCGAGTCTGATGCTTAACCAACTGAGCCACCCATTAACCCTGTCGGTAAAATCATTTCTAATGGGGAATCCAGCCATACTATGATCCGGATGTGTGAGAGGAATAGAGACATTTTCAGACACGCAAACTTTCAAAAAAATTAAGCTCCCGAGTATATGTTCTCTAGAAGATACTGGAAGATGTCCTCCATCAAATTGAGGTAGGTAAACCAAGGACGAAAATGGTATGGAGTCCAGGAAAGAGAAAAGGAATTCCAGGGTGATAGTGAAAGAAGGTTTTGGGGACAACAGTTGTGTAACAAGCCTGGAGAGAAGCCCATTCACACTGGAGCAGAAGAAGCTTCTGGAGGATTCCTCCAAGGGGAGTATGAAACTGATGGTGTATCTGATACATCTGAACATAGAGTTTTACGTTTCTAACAGGGAGCCTGTGAGTGATCTCATGTTCAATAGTTAGAAAAGCAAAACTAAAAAAAAAAAAGAAAAGAAAAGCAAAACTAAAAGTTGTAAAATAAGACATATAATCATATAAGCTACACGAGTGAATACAGATAATATTTTCACAGGTGGAACACTGAAACATTATACATCGATATACAAAAGGACTGATTTAACTATAATGAGAGAATTACAGACGGCTAAATGTGCGTGTGTGTGTGTTGGGAGGCATAATTCCTGTCTTCCTCAGGAGACAGTCAAGAGATACTGCCTGAAATCGGGGAAAAAATAGCCCAATAAGAGTTCTATTTAGAACTATGAAAATAAATACTAGTGAAAAACAAATAAAAGATTTTAAAGTTGTTGTCTCTGAAAAGTTGGAATCAGGACTGAGAAGGGCCTGGTATTTTCCTAAGATTGGAAAAACACAAACCACCAAATAAAAGATTGAAAAATCTGAGCATAGCTGACCCTCGAACAAGTGTTTAAACTGTGCAGGCCCACTCATGTACGGATTTTTTTGGTAAAGACAGTACAATACTGTAAGAGTATTTTCTCTTCCTTATGATTTTCTTTAAGAAGGATTTTTTTTGTGCATGTTGAATGCATTTTTTTTTTAAGATTTTTAATTTATTTTTTGACAGAGAGAGAGACAGTGAGAGAGGAAACACAAGCAGGGGGAGTGGGAGAGGGAGAAGCAGGCTTCCACTGAGCAAGGAGCCCGATGTGGGGCTCGATCTCAGGACCCTGGGATCATGACCTGAGCTGAAGGCAGACGCTTAACGACTGAGCCACCCAGGTGCCCCCGTTATGATTTTCTTAAGAACATCGTAGGTAATACATGTAACATACAAAATACGTGTTAATCGACTGTTTATGTTATCCATAAGGCTTCCAGTCAATGGTAGGCTATGAGTAATTAAGTTTTTGGGGAGTTAAAAGTTATATGTGGAGTTTTGACCGTGGGGGGAAGGGGCTGGTACCCCCAACCCCTGCATGTACGGGTCAACCGTATATTAAAATTTTTAAATTCTACATAACTAAAGATGTCATTGTGAAAAGAAAAGCCACTTATATAACCAGTAAAACAACAAAGAGTTAATATCAAAAATACAAAGACGGCGCCTGGGTGGCTCAGTCGTTAAGCGTCTGCCTTCGGCTCAGGTTATGATCCCAAGGTCCTGGGATCGAGCCCCACGTCGGGCTCCCTGCTCCACGGGAAGCCTGCTTCTCCCTCTCCCACTCCCCCTGCTTGCGTTCCCTCTCTCTCTCTGTCTCTCTCTGTCAAATAAATAAATAAAATCTTAAAACTAAAAAATAAAAATACAAAGAACTGCCACAAAGCAATTAAAAAAATAACACAGGAAAGGAAGGGAGATAGGATATCAACAGGCAATTCATAGAATGTTCAAAACAAAAATCTGAAAAGATCTTTAACCCAGTAGGGATCAGGGAAATGCAAGTTAAAACAATAAGATACCATTCATTCATTAATCCACCTAGTATTTATTAGGCGCCTACTGTGTGCCAAGCACTATTCCAAGGGCTTGGGATATATTAGAACCAAGCAGACAAAATCCCCCCAACCTTGTGGAGTTTACATTCTAGAAGGGGCGGTCAGACAATAAAATAAACATAACATAAATTATATAAGAAGTCAGAGGGTGACAAATACTATGGACCAAGTCGAGGAAGTTAAGGGATCAGTCAGCAGTGTGGGAGAAGGAGACAGTGAAGGCAAACTGCAGTATTAAACATGATGGTCAGGTCAGGCCTCACTGAAGACTGAAATCTGAGCAAAGACTTGAAACAAGTCAGGGAGTTTGCTTAGTGGAGATCTGGAGGAAGATTATTCCAGGCAGAGGGATCAAATAGAGAAAGAACAGGAGGCAGGATGCCCACCATGTTCAAGGAGCAGCAAGGTCAGTGGGACTGAAGCACGGTGAGTGAGGGGCAGAGTAGGAGAGGAGTGGGCAGGGTGACGGGGCCTTGTCACATTAGGCTTTTACTCTGCGTGAAACAGGTTCTGAGCAGATGTGTGATGTAATGTAATATTTCAAAAGGAACATGTGAGCTACTGTGTTACGACATCACGCCATCAGCTGAACAGCAAATGTTGACAAGGATGCAGAGAAAGAATTCTCACATATTGCTGGTAGGAGCCCAAACTGGTTACAGTCCTTCTGAACAGCAAGATGGGCAAACATGCCTAAGTCTATTCTCTTTAGGAGTTCCTATAAATGAACACAGAATGATTCAAGAATCTTTGATGTGATGCTATTTGTAACGGTGAAAAACTAGAAGCTTTGATGTCCATTGATAGGACAGTGGATAAATGAATTCTGGACTATTCATACAGTGAAATAGACAAGTGTTAAAATGAATGAACGAGAGCTACATGTGTCGACATGGATAAATCCCAAAAATGTAACGCTGGAAAAAAAAAAGGCAAGGTGCAAAAGAATCATACAGGAATATATGAAAATACTGAAATATTAGAATTTGATAAACCCGGGTGGTAGATACACAGGTGCCCATTATATTTTTTATATTTTTCTGTATGTATTTTATTTAAAATGAACCAAAATAAAAAGCTGAATCTATCATCTAACAATACAGAACAGCAAGGACCTGTTGGGTCACAAAAGAGATGCTAACAGATCTCAACCTGGGTGTGTGACTGGCCCTCCACAAATCACACACAGTTTGAAACAAAGTCAGCACTTACTCAGCGAGACCAGCGAGACCGTGTTTCTACAGTCCTTCAGTGCGCTCTCCGGGCAGAAGTCCCTCTGAGCTGGGTCCAGACGGTCCCACTCCTCCCAGGTTAGAGACACAGCCATATTCTCAACCGTCACCAACTCCTGAAACAACATGAGACCTCTACTCAGTGCCTGCTGTCCCAGGACAGCATAAGTGACCACTCATCTCAGGATGAGACCAGACTCCAGAGGAGTCTGCAAACACTGAGCAGAAAGCCCTGGGAATCAAGTTAACAACCATGGCTGTTGAGTCTTTTCCAGTGAGTCTTGTACTGACTGGAGTTTCAAAGGAACAAAGACAGAGGCTGAAATTCTCTTGCAATCCTGAAAAGCTTTTCTGTGGACTGTCCATACTAATGTGGGGAAAGAGCAAAATCTTTGAGTTATATCACTGTGATTTATCAAATAGGAAATCTGATATAGATTAAAAATATACAGGTAAGCAGGAAGTCCCAAATTGCAGTGCTGGCTCTGAGACTGGGTTACCTCATGTGTGAAATGCATACAAATAATTTAAGAAGATGAAGGTAGCTCACTGACAGCAGGTGTTCAATAAAATTTACTTTCCCTTCCCTTGACCATTGCACAATAAGATAATTATCCAGCAAGATGATCTTTTGAAGTAGCTTATCTAAATGTAAATTGACCATTCACAGAAGGTAAAGCCACAGTTCTTGGAAAGGGAAGGATCTAACACTGGTGTGGAGAGATGTCAGTCTAGGTTTCAGTGATGGGTCACAAATGGACTCTAAGGATCTCTCACTAAACGACAGGAAAGGGAAATATATTTTTAAATTTTCTATATGTTAAGTTTTGACATCTTAAAAAAAAAAAAAAATCTTTGTGGCTAGGGAGACTGCCCTTCCCACAGCTAGTCAATTCTTAGAGAGAGCAAAAGGCTCAGCCAAGACTACTTAATCTCAAGCCATACCTCCTCTACCTGCCTGTATACTCTATCTTCTTCATTCTAGAACCAGTTGTCAAACCAACTAGGGACCAGCCCTACAGGTTAGAGACTGCTGAAATTATTCAAACCAACCAATTCTAAACTGTTCCCCCTGCCCTGCCTTGTCTTTTCCTGGGAAACCTCAGTACAGGCTCTGGCCTAAACCTTTCCCTTTTCTCCAGTTTTCTGCCTCCTGACCACCCCAAGTGTCCTTCCCAGGAAGCTCTGAGTGTCATGCTATGCCTCCTGTTTCTAAGATCTGAGTATAATAAAATTTGTTTTTTCCTGAGCCTTGCCTCTGCTTCCTTATAAAGGAAAATCACACTTCTGTGTGTCTCTTCTACTTTCAATACTCGGAATATTTTCACTACAATACTTCACTTCTGACACCAGATGTAGGAGTTTTCACATATCAGGCAATTCTGTAATACCAGCTGGGTGTCCTAAAGTTTAACTCAATTCTGATACTATCTACCTGGATATAGAGTCAGATCCCACAGGTTAAGGGCCCGGTCCCACAAGACTATCCTCCCCTCCCAACTTTGGAAGCCAACCGCAAGTAGTAGGTCTCCAGGTTACACACAATTCCTGTCTGACTTGGCCACAAATCAGAGGTTCCCATGACCTCCCCCTACCAATTCGACTCTTTGCTTGAAGAGCTCACGGTACATAGGCAAACACTTAGATTTACCAGTTTATTACAAAAAGATATGATAAAGGATACAGATGAACAGCCAAACGAAAAAATACATAGTGAGATCTGGGTGGTCAGGAGCACAGAAGCTTCTGTCCCCAAAGAGTTGGGGTTTTTCACCCTCTGGGTATAAGGAGGTGTTCACCAGTTGGAAGCCCTCTGAATCTCACACTATTGGGATTTTTATGGAGGCTTCACCACATAGGCATGATCAGTAAACTCCATTAGAGCCCCTCTCGCATCTCTGGAATACCGTTATCAACTGTAGGAGGACGGGGGTCGCTAAACTTCTAAAAAGTAAAACAAAGTGGTAGAGAATTGCTGTTCTAGCCTAAGTAGTTAACGACATGAAGCCACGTTCCACCTGTCACCTTTCTTCCCCAAATAATCTAGTTAGACAACAGGGTGTCTTACAATGGGTAAATAATGCTCCCACGTTGGTTTTGTGCTCAGAGGTCTATAACTCAAGGATCATTTCCCGGATAGATTTACTTGTCACTGTTTCCTACGAAAAGAAAGTTTCATGCACATCCTGAAGTTAGGACAAAATGTAGTAAGGAAAGAAGGTCTGAAACTCATCCCGTATACCTCTATTCCCTACACCCCCGCCACCAGAACACTTTCACTCCTCACCTGGGGTGAGGCCCCATCAAGCGCTCTCTGAAAAACGCGCACCGCGGCCGCAGCCTTCTCCCCGCTCTGCGGGCAGTGCCTCCGCACCCAAGCCTGTAGCTCTTGGGGCAGGATGCTCAGGAACTGCTCCAGCACCAGCAGTTCCAGGATCTGCTCCTTCGAGTGCATCTCGGGCCTCAGCCACCGGCGACAAAGTTCCCTGAGCCGGCTTAGCGCCTCTTCGGGTCCAGCCACCTCCTGGTAACGGAACCGCCTAAAACGCTGTCGCGACTTTTCCGGATCCTGACAGTCCCCAGGCGCGTCGGGCTCCTGACCTCCGGGTGAGTCTTCCTCCACTTTCACTATCAAAAGTCCATCACGCAGAGACGGCGCGGCGACCCTGGACCTCGCAGCTGCCATCCAGGCTCCTGCCTCAGCATCAGGGACTTGACTCGCGGTCAAGCTCGAACTCATCTTCCTCCCGCGCGTGCTGACTTTCCCGGAGTTCTGCCTTCAGGGGACAAGACAGCAAACCCTGCAAAAAGCCCCAGAACGCATCAGACTTCCCCAGAACAGCGGCTCCCGACTATCCCGTCCTCAGCAGGGCCCTACCCTGCCCGACCCCTCCGATACTCCTCCCACCCGCAGGTATTCCACCCACAACCCGCTACGCCCAGTGACAAAAAGTACTAAAAAACCAGGCCGGAAGTGCGTCACCGACTCCCTGCAGTGCCCTCCCCTCCCGGGCATTTCCGGGGCTTCTCTAGGCGCCCCGGAGGAGTGAGGTCCATCTCGGTGGTTTGCCGTCCCGCCCCTTCCAGAGATACTGTGTGGGTACCCTCCTGGAGGCGCTTACAGTCGTTTAGCTCAACAGAACTAAATGATACTCTTATTTTACAACTTGAATGCCATTTTTAAACACATTGTCCGTGAATAAAGTTTTGTAAATTTTGTTGCAGGAAAAGATAAAACTCTAACTGTACAGTGAGTAGTAAACAATCATCCATCCATATGGTATTTATACAAGAAAGCTTTGTAGAGTAACTGCTACACGCCCAGGCATACTGCTTGACACTATAATTACAAACTGAGTAAACAGGGCGCCTGGGTGGCTCAGTTGGTTAAGCAACTGCCTTCGGCTCGGGTCATGATCCTGGAGTCCCGGAATCGAGTCCCATATCGGGCTCCCTGCTCAGCGGGGAGTCTGCTTCTCCCTCTGACCCTCCTCCCTCTCATGCTCTCTGTCTCTCATTCTCTCTCTCGCAAATAAATAAAAAAAACTTAAAAAAAAAAACACTGAGTAAACATAGTCTCTATCCTCAGTCTCCTAAGAGAGTCAGACACTTAGATCGTTACAGAACAGGGTGGTAAATGCAATACTTTGGCATGTATGAACAGTACATTTGTATGACCGGGGTGAAAATAATCAGTCATGGCTGATGGGGAGGGTACGGTGAAAGACTTCACCCAGGAGATTAAAGCTTAAAATGTCCATGTGGGCTGAAGACATATTTTATTTTATTATTTTCTTTAAGATTTTATTTATGTAATTTGACAGAGAGGCAGCGAGAGAGGGAACACAAGCAGGGGGAGCGGGAGAGGGAAAAGCAGGCTCCTTGCTGAGCAGGGAGCTTGACGCTGGGCTCAATCCCAGAACCCTGGGATCAAGACCTGATCCGAAGGCAGAGGCTTAAGGGACTGAGCCACCCAGGCACCTCAGAATCTGTATTTTAAAAATATCCCCAGGTGATTTGTATACACATGAATTGAGAAGCAGTGATCAGATGAACCTTTCTGACCAGTACAGAATTTAAATATTGTGTGTAAATAGATTACCTTTGTCCTTATCGGGACACATAAATATTTTGTGTGACAATGTGAGGCAGAGTTGTATTTCAGGGGAAACTGTGGAAGGAATGGAGCTCCACCACAGGTATCTTGCCTCCAAGCATTTGAAACTAAACTTTAATTCAGTTTGCAACAGGAATTTTGGTCATTTTTAAACTTCATTTAAAAATATTTTATGATGATATGATTTTGACCCCAGGACTCTATTATGTGACTGCAGCTCATTATAGTGTGTTTGAAAATATAAATACCAAAGACTTATTTAAGTATCGTGGAAATAGCTTAACCTTTGGATCCCATGTAGTCAGAAAAGTCAGAAGCAGAAAACAATCTAGCTATTTTTTTTTTTAAAGATTTTATTTGTTTGACAGAGAGAGAGACAGCAAGAGAGGGAACACAAGCAGGGGGAGCGGGAGAGGGAGAAGCAGGCTTCCCACTGAGCAGGGAGCCCAATGCGGGGCTCGATCCCAGGATCCTGGGATCATGACCCGCACCGAAGGCAGACGCTTAACGACTGAGCCACCCAGGCGCCCCACAATCTAGCTATTTAATAGAGAAAGATTTTTCTAGTAGTTTTTTTCTTGCTTCAAGAAACAATATATAATAAAAATACAATAGTCATGTTTTACATGTTTCATATCCATTTATACTTTAACAATGTTCAGAAAAGAAATCATGCAATTGAAATGAGAAATACTGTGCATTGGTTTAACATTTACATTAAATCATCTGCATTATTTATTTAACAAGGGAAGAATTATCCAAATTATATGTTGTAGGTAAATTCATTTTAAAAATTTATCTATTTAAATGAGTACAATTAATATCCTGATTTATGAATGCAAAGTCCCAAGCAAGGTCAGAATTCCATAGGACATCTCTATGGACTAAAGTTTAAATTACAAGCTAATGACTTATCCAAAAGTTGTGCAAAAGCACGGAGTCAACCCCTACTTTATGCTTTAGCAGGTAAGTGGCTGTACTAGTCTGTTTGGGATCTGTTTTGGTTAGACATTAACAGGGCATGAAAGAGGCGAAGGCAGATTTTTTAGGATTTATCTTTATGACAAATCCATTTCTAGAGAAACAACTTCATTATTCTCAAGGCTCAGGTTTGTCATTCTAGAAATTTGGAGCAATATATAATAATTTAATGACATAACTGGTCCCACATTTATATCTGATCTCTCCAAATGGTCTGAAAGCCCCTGGAAGGCAGAAACTTTGTATAAGTCTACTTATTCATCTCTGTGGGAATGTTATCACAATCTGGCAGGAAGTCAAAAGTTCTTTTCCCAGTATTGCGGGACAAGGCTTCCAGTAGGGCCACGTGGCCAAGGATGGGCAAAGGAATTAAGGACAGAATGCAAATTCCTAAGTACAGGCAAACCTAGCTTCAGAAAATATCCATTTATATAACTAATTATGGAATCTGGAAGTGAATAGCAAGTACTGTGAGGGCAGTACAAGCATTTTTCATTCCCTCCCATCAAGGTGGTCTGCTCACCAGCTGATTACCAGTCAGGTTCTACCAGCTCCTGCCTCTGGGTTGTGTGACTATGGGCTCTAATCATGACATACTGTCTCACCTTTAAAAAAATAATTGGGAAAAGAATTTAAAAATAGGGCAAGGATAAATGGGGCCAGGGATAAAATGAGATTACAAGTTGCCTACTGTAAACTCCTATGTACTGGCAAAAGATAGCTCACAATTTGGCTCCGAAAAGCCTCAGCTGCCAGTGCAAGAGGAAAACAAGATCAGTTACATGATATGCAGCATGCCTTGGGTAAAAGCAAACTATTAATGGTAGCTTAGGAGAAATCCAGCTATTCTTGATACCAAGTGGGAAGAGAAATTTCCCATGACTGCCCAGGAAAAGGACACTGTGTGACATCGTGGACAGTATCTTAAGATCTCTGTAATAAATAAAATTAATGGATTTTAATGCCCTTTCAATGTTAGCTGACGGCAAGTACTAAAGCACAATTCAAAAGAGCTAATTCTGTGAAGGAAATAAAAGAGTGTCGTTTAAGATTCAGCTCTCTGAAGGTCTGGTTTAATATAAAGACAAAATTCAAAGTGCAGCTCTTTCCAGACCTTTTACCCTGCCATAGAGGCTGATGGTTATGTGAAAAGTCCATTTCCAGTACTAACTGGATCATCACCCTTTTCTCTCCTCTTGACAGTATCTTATTGTGGTATATTGCAAAAATGGCCAAAAAAGTAAAACAAAAAGTATAGAAATACACTTTGCAGTTCCTCTCTGAGGAACTGGAGTCTATTTCTGTTGAATAGAAGTGGAGAGTATTTCCCCACCCTTTGAATTTGGGCCGGTCTTGTGGCTTGATCTGACCAACAGAATGTGGCAGAAGTGACACTGTCTGAGTTTCAAGCCTCAGGATCAAGAACCTTTGCAACTTCTGGTCTCTTGCTTTTGTAATCTGCCACCACCAAGTGAACAAGTCTGAGCTAGGCTGCCAGGTGATGGAAAATGTGTGGCCCACATGCCTCCTAGCACTCCAACTGACAATCAGCCAATCCCCAGAAGGAGAAGTGCTTATCTCACCCACGGCTGACCACAGACAAAAGGAGCCCAGCAGAAAAGTCACCCAGCTAAGCGTGGACCAAATCACCAGCCCACAGAGTCCTAAGTAAAATAAGTGGTTGCTTTTTTAGGTCACTAAGTTTGGTGTGGTTTATTATGCAACAAAAACTAACAGACATACTTTTAAACACCAGAGTAACTCAATTCACAATTTTAACAAAAAAGATAAAATACTTAGGAATGAACGTAACAAGCTATGTGCAAAATATATGAAGAAAACTAAAACACTCCTGAAGGATCCAAAATTAGGCTTTCTTCTCCCAAAAATGGAAAAACATACCATGTTCTTGGATAGGAAAATCAACTTTATAAGAATGTCAATTCTCCCTAAGTGAATATAAATTAAAAATGATCCCAATAGAGACTTCTCTCTGGAACTAGAAAAACTGAATCTAAAGTTAAATTTGGAAAAGAACTAAAGAAGCAAATATACCTTGAAGAAGAAATAGAACTGGGGAGACATTTGCCCTAAGAGATACTAAAACCAAGGGCGCCTGGGTGGCTGAATCGGTTAAGCATCTGCCTTGGCTCAGGTCATGATCCCAGGGTCCTGGAATCTAGCCCCGCATCTGCTCCTTGCTCAGTGGGGAGCCTGCTTCTCCCTCTCCCCCTGCCGGCCGCTCCCCCTAATTGTGCTCTTTCTCTGTGTCAAATAAATAAAATCTTAAAAAAAGAGAGAGATTAAAACCAATGACTGATCCTCAATAAATGAAAACATCATATTATCACAGGGATAGAACATCGCACCAGAATAGAAAATGTAGAAATAGACCACAAAACACGAGGATTTAGTGTATGAAAAAGGCAGCATCACAAATCAATGGGAGGTAAAGACACTTTGTCATAAATGATGAGACAACTGGGTAGCGATTTGGAAAAAGACAGAGTTAGAGCTATACTTCACACCATACACCAAGATAATTTTGAATGGACCAAAGGCTCAGTGTTTAAAAGTGAGCATACGCAAAGTAAATGTAAAAAGTGAAACCACAGCAGACATACCGCAGTGTCAATTTAGGCATTTGTAAACACATACACAAACGAGAGGTTATTAAGAAGGGCATCCCTTTGGCTAGAGAAGCCCTGCATAGACGAGTCCTCTACTTCGCAGGAACTCATTGCTCTCAACTCCACTCTCCCCAGCCTGGGGAGCAACCCACTCCGCCACTATCGGCCTTGCCCGCGGAGGCGCTCGAGGAAACGCCTCCTTGCCTTCCCGCATTCTGATAGGCTCT